CATATCATATATCATATCATATATCATATCATATATCATATCATATATCATATCATATATCATATCATATATCATATCATATATCATATCATATATCATATCATATATCATATCATATATCATATCATATATCATAACATATATCATATCATATATCATATATCATATATCATATATCATATATCATATATCATATATCATATATCATATATCATATATCATATATCATATTATATCATATCATATGTCATATCATTCTTAACAAAAGATATTTTAAAAAAAAATTATAAAACGCAACCATGACAGATTGATATTCATGGACAAAACAAAAATCTGTGCCATTTGTTGCCCACCATTTGAATCGTCAATATTTACACAAGTCTGTAAACCGGCCTCAATGGTCAATAGTGAGAGTAAAATGCTCAGGGTTAACACGATCAAAATTTGGTCAAAATTCCTTTTTGAACGAAAAATTTTTGTGTTACAACACAGAGTGTACAAAAAAAAAAAAAAAAGAAATTGAACGAAAATGTGACGAAAATAATTTGATCGTGTGAACGGATCATTCCGAGACGGCTTTGATGGTAAGCGTTTCGCTGTCATTCTTTGATTGGTCACTAACCAGATCAAAACTAACAAAGATTGTTTAAACCTAATAAACCAATGAACCAATAAATCTCTAAATATAATGAGGATATGCAGAGGTGGGTTGGGGGCGGGGGGGGGGGTTAAAAGTTGAAATGATCTTTTTAAAAAAAAAAAAAATTAATTAGGTCAAAACCCTTGAAGACAACGTACATCGATTGTAGCCACCAGTAACTTCCGGTTGTTGAGACCGAACCGTGTGTTGGGAAAGACATCGGGTTCTCCCACGAAAACAACATGGTCCGATGACGTCACAAGGGCAACATCCGCCAGGTACCGCGTCTTGTTGACTCCGTAGTACAAAGTCTGCACCCGTGAAACTGTGTCTGCGCTGTCCGTGAACGGAGCCTGGGAGGAGAACATTTGTAATTTACTGAGTGTTGCCGTACAGGTCATCGCTGTGGGGCGCTATTCATATATTTATTTATTTATTTTAATTGATAGGAATTGTGGTTTTCATAGATAATGTATTTTTTTAAAAAAAATCTTCAGATCCAAATTTAATTAATTTTTTTGAAATATTTTTTTTATTAGGAAGCCAAAAGTTGTACACATTTTTGTTCGAAAAAAAAAAGCTCGCATGATATTTGAATTCCCTTTTTTGATGTAATCCACTTACTTTAAACTTTTTGAGAAGTTCATTCGATTGAGCGTCTCATTGACCAGGCTAATTAACTAGGCTAATTGAACAGGCCAATTTGACCAGGTTAATTGACCAGGCTAATTGACTAGGCTAATTAACTAGGCCAATTAACAAGGATTATTGACCAGGCTAATTGACCAGGCTAATTGACCATGCTAATTGAACAGCCTTATGACCAGGCTTTATGACCAGGCTAATTGACCAGGCTAATTGACCAGGCTAATTGACCAGGCTAATTGACCAGGCTAATTGACCAGGCTAATTGACCAGGCTAATTGACCAGGTCAGGTCAACCCGACCAAATAATCTAACGAAGGAAATGACATTGTAACCTCCCTCAAAAGAATTTGGCGGGACGAGAGTATCTGGATCAGCTCTCAACAATGTGTGACAGCACGACGAAGCATCATTACGTCACACATACTTAACTCACATCAAATATGTAAATTGAAGTGTAACTGGAAGAAGGTGGTTAGTGGGGGGGGGGCATCAGGGATCAGTTACAGAAATAGAAGACTTGGAGTTTGTGTTCAGGATGCACTTTGCGGTACAGTGTCCTAGGTTATTATCATATTAAAGTCTTACCATGAGCTACTTCATACAATTCATTTGCAGATTTTTAAAAAAGAAAATTCTATAAGTTGTCTATGAAGTTGAGCATCCATAAAAGGAATCCACCTGGCCAACAGTGAACTTGTACACTTTCCCTTGCCCGCCAAACTAAACCATAGGCCCCGCACAGAGTGCTGTTTCTGCCTCTGGCAGGCCCCTTTTTCCACATTAAATCAGATGACCTGCCCTAATGTGGAAGCGATCTTGGGACTTGTTCTTTGTGTATGTGGCCACCAACCGCTCGGTAGAGACGTCGCGCGGTATTATTTTCAAATTTATGCGCGGTCTCCGTCTCAAACTGTTACTCATACTTTAGAAAAAAATTCCAGATGCTAATAAATATATGAACTTTCACATTTTGATGCGAATTCGCTTTATAACGGTGTGCGTAAGAATGGGGTTCCCTGCAATTAATCATTTAATTTCGTTTATATATATATAAGAATGAGTTATGCTGACCGTAACGCCAAAGAACCAATGATATTTAGATACGTTCGGATTCTTAATAACAATCATAGATATTTCACATTATTTTACGGAAATCAAATAAATTTAAATGCGCAAAAAAAATATATATATATATCCGCTTTTATTTTAGTAAAAGTTTAAGCATAATTATTATAAATTACAAATACAATTTAAAGTAACAAATAAGGAACTATCTTAATTAAGCATTGATATTCGTTTGAAAGTTATGAAAAGAAAATTTAATTTTAACAAAGTATGATCAAAGAATTACACCGTAATCACATTTATCTGGAAAACCCAAACATCAGTTTTTTTTAGCGCGTTTTTTAATGCGTTGTTAATGTTGCGAAATACAATTGAAATTAATTTGTTCTAAATAAACACGCAAATGACGTCCTAGCGCAAATCGCCTATTTTGGCCAAATCCATTAAATTTCTTTGACTTAATAACCGCGCCTTACAAAAATGATAATGCATTTTCCCTTCTTAAAAGTAAAATAAATAAAATTTATTAATTATATTTAATATAATTGATTGTTTTTTTTAAATTGTTAATAAAACACACACAAATTTTAGCTTCGCATTTTTAACATTAAATACGTTTTTACTTTTTATATTTCCACGAAATATACTTTAATTACATTTAT